TACAAACAGCGTTCCCCCCATTGTTGATGAAAAAAAGCTCGAGTAGATCTCACCGGTCCCACAAAAAGTATAGATTCACGGTCCCACGTCCTAGCTAAGGCGTTATCTCGTAGTGGGTTGCTCGTTTCGGCTCCAAATCACCAAATCTTCAACTTTTCAAAAACTTTAAATCGAGGTATTCCGACTTAGTTTTTATTAAAACTCAAATAAAAAAATACATATTAGTTGTCTTTAATGTGCTCAATGTTATTTTGTGATTGTTTTGCGATTTAACTAATTTATTATTTTTTATCCGGACAATAGTATTAATGTGTTAAAAATATTAGTAAAATAGAGAAATTGTTATTAGTTGTTAAAAGAAATATTAATTAGTTACTTTTTACTGTGGTATATGTATTTACATGATTGTATTGTGATTAAATTTATTTATTATTTTTATCCGGTTTAGATTATTTATTTTCTAAAAGACTAGTAAAATAGATAAATTGTTACTTTAGTTCCCTGTAGTGGTATCTTGTGGCCTAATGTAGTGCTCGTATTTGTAATGTAATGCCCTTTTAGCGTAGTAAAATGTAGTTCCCTTTAGCGTAGTATCTTTGTAGTTATTGAAATTAATCATTTAAGTATCTCGTAAACCCAAAAATACGTCAAAAAAGCTGATAGTTCAAAAATAGGTGAGTAACAAACAAACATATAAAATAATAAAACTAACATATTAAAGTAACATATAAAATATAAAATTTTAATATTGAAAATGTATCAACCTAATTAACAATATAGTAAAAATATCGAATAAAATTTAATATTAAAGGTATTGCAATATATTTAAGCAATGAAAAAGAAAAATAATGTAATTAATATTGTTCAATTTACAGTAGTCGTCACGGAGGTTCCGCCTTTGCATCCTGGACTTGCCTCGCTAGATCGACTGTTGCTACAGGCCGAGCATAGGTCTTCATACATATGGGAGGGACAATTATTGGCCCAGACGTTCCGCGCCAGAAGAGTAGACGATATGTGGGACTTTCTTAGGACTCACCATCTCCATCCCCGTATAGTCAGACGCCTTCAGGATATGGGTTTTTATAGGATTGTTGAGATCGGCCGGCTGCAGCTGGATTGGTCGTTGATCACAACTTTGATAGAGCGGTGGCGACCAGAGACGCACACATTCCATTTGCCCATTGGCGAGGCCACTATCACGCTTCAGGACGTGGAGGTTCTGTATGGGATGTCGGTTGATGGACATCCTGTTACTTTGCCGCATGCCATCAGAGAGTATACGGGTTTGCAGTACCTGGAGATGTTGCAACGGCTCACCGATTTCCAGCCAGCGAATGAGGCTGCATTGGTTGGGGCTAGCCGTCTGCAGTTGACGCCCGTCCGGCTGCATCTGGAGGCGATGCATGCTGACATTACGGATTATACACTGGAGCTTCATATTAACCGGTACACGAGGTTGATGTTGCTGCTTATGTTTGGAGGGGTATTGTTCCCGAACACTTCGGGAAACCTAGTCAGCTTGAGATTTCTTCATCATCCTGAGCGGCTAGATGATTTACATGATTACATCTGGGGTGCTGCTGTTCTTGGTTACTTGTACATGCAGATGTGCCGGGCGAGCATGGGCACCCAACGAGACGTTGCCAGATTTTTCCGCTACTGCAGGTGAAAACATAGTCAAATACTCTCTTCATTATAACATACCTAGTAAATATATGCCTTAAATTTTACGTCCACATTGTATATTAGGTTTGGGCCTCGGAGCGGTTCTTGCAGTTGCAGCCACCTCTACCACCCTTCGCTCTGGATGCACCACCTCTATTTCTCCCTTTAGCTAGGAGGTGGGTTGATAGGAAAGGATATGGACGCGAGTACGAGGCTCGACATAATCTCCCCTATTGCAGGGATTTGTTGAATTTGCTGAAGGGCACATAGGTAAATGTATACTTAAGTTTACTTGGCCTGGCTTTATATATGTTGCGTATACTCATGGTTCCTGTTTTTACTTAATAGTTCATTTGGAGGCCATACAACGATGAGCTAATAGCTGGTTTGCCCGATTATTGCTCGACCGACCGAATTATGTGGAGCTCTTCCGTTCCGTTGATGTGTCTCGATATTGTCGAGCATCATGCCACCGAGCGAGTCCTTCGCCAGTTTGGTCGACCGTAGCTTGTACCTCCACCGCCCGCTTGGCATATGACACATTACTAGCGGGATGATCGTTCCAGGGTGGACCAGACATATGTAGCATGGCTAGAGGCGCAGATCAATACTTGGGACCAGCGGCATGACCTGATTCCCCCCTCCACCCGACCGGACGGATGGTGATCATGAGTATATGGGCTAGTACCGCAACGTTACCCGACTTTTCATTGGGAATCCCGTTCATCGCGCTGGCGGTCGGTACGTTCCATACGCCGGGAGGCACGAAGCACTGGTATGTTATTTGGTATACTTACTTATAACGTTAACCTAGTGTTCCGTAATTAATTTTTTACATGTTGTGCAGGCTATTGGCCTATATCTGTTCTACCAGTTAGGACTACAGATGCAGCAGCATACCGGTGAGGGAGCAGCCGCTTTGCACGAGTATGATCGGCAGTTACAAATCTGACTTTTCGGACATTGAGGCGAGCCCGAGATGATGAGCGCTTAGGATACGAGGCTGATTATGTGGCGCCAGAGCAGTACTATCATAGGCCAGTAGTGGATCCAGAACGTGGTCGACGTGGCAGGCATGCCCAGAAAGGTAAGGGTATCCCACGAGGTAGGGGTGTCCCACGAGGTCGTGGGGGTCCGCGAGGAGGTGGTCCCCATCAAGGGGGCGTTGAGGCACCTGTTGAGGATGTTAGAGTTGATCAGCCGGGTGACCACCATGAGCAAGACATCCTCCTAGTGGTATGCTGTCATTCATCCTTAAGCTTACTCTAGGGACTTCGCAGGTGACCCCGTTAGCTCCAATGTTGATCGCGGCACGACCATTACGCGACAGGAGTGGGATCAGTATTTTCCTGGTCCTCTAGAGCCATCGACGGTTGCTGATGATCGTCCGACACGAGATGTGGATAGTGGGCGCCGACTGAGTTATGGCTCATCATCGAGGGATGCTGAGGATCTTTCACAGGCGCAAGTTTGTTTGTATTACTATTATTTATATTTGTTTTTATCTCATTGATTAGCCATAAATATCTAAAGCCTTTTTTTTAAGGCATCATCCTCGCCCATCACGGAGGCCACTTTGTGCGATACTGACATGGCTGAGGCTGTGATTATATTCAGGAGCCCGCCGAGATCATGGTAAGACAATTTAAATTTTTGTGACTTAACACGTACATTACTAATATATATTTCATATACTAAAATATCTTATTATTCTATAGATTACTGTTGGACCGACGGCCCCTTCTACCGAGCCTGCCAGCCCTACTGACGATCATGCTGCAACGCACCCTCCGATAAAGAGGCGACGTGATGAGGATGATCCTGATAGTGTAGCCAGGCGGGATGGGATGAGCCTCAGGCCAACGTCTGCTTTAAAGCATATAGGATGTGGGACACATTGACTTTTTTGATTTTATGTACATATGACATTCAGTAAATAATAGCAACAAATTTTATTGTTTATATTATATGCGCATTATATTTTTATTTTTCGGGTTTTTTGTTATTTTAATACTACAACACAAACACAAATATAGCAACTTAACATAATTTAAATTTGGTATAACTAATGAAAATACATGACACGGAAAACATAAAGATAAAATACTACACTCAACACATACATGTGTTTGTTTAGTCACTATCGCCCATTATTCTCTCCTTCAACCACTTAAATTTCTCTTCCAACCTATTTTTTTCTTCTTCCGTCTCTTTTAATTTCTCCTGCACTGCCGCAATTTGTCGTTGCATTTTAAAGATCTGGAATTCGTATTCACCGGTCATATTCCAAACATACTGCAAACATGATTTGTAGTATTCCTAGTTAATGGGTTCATCATACCATTCTTCAAATCTATATTGATTTTCGTCCTACTAATGGGGATTATAACACAACACTATTGTCACACCTCTTTTTTCAAAAATTAGGTGCTCACAACTATTAGTTAACATTTTATATAAAAAATATTAACAAATATTTTTTCCAAAACAATAACTTACAAGTTGTTGACATATCCAGCATATGCGCCCAACATTACTATTTGACCAACATGGCTTCAAAATCGCACGTTTGCCACAATAACACCTTGGTACGTCATTGCATCCAAACATTTCTTAATGCAAGAAAAATAAAAAATTTATGGAAAGTTTTTCTATTTGTTTTGGTTAAGTGCACGTAATAACTAAAATGCGCTAGTTATTTATAGGCAACATAAAACATATAACGTGGTATTTTACCGCGCTATGTTTCGCGTGATAATGATTCTTTAGGGTACAATACAACTTTTTCAGAAGATAACTTTTGCAGAACAACAACTTTTTCAGGTCAACAAGACAACACACATAACGTGATATTTCATCGCGCTATGCTTCGCGTGATAATGATTCTTTCGGGTACAATACAACTTTTCCAGAAGATAGCTTTTGTAGAACAACAACTTTTTCGTTTCGACAAGACAAAACACATAACGTGGTATTTCACCGCGCAAAACAACTTAACGAAGAAATATTTCAGAAGACTTGAGAATATTTATGAATGAATTTTTACAAAATCCTTAACCTCTTTAAATAAGGCAAAAACCAGTCCCGGAGTACAATTATTTGAGGTATATCGCCTTACATATGGGCGCTATACCCAGTTGAATTATTGTTATGTCAGTTAAGCTCAGAAGAATTATTGGTGAGCCCACATAATATATATAACGCCTTTCAAAAGGGCTTTATATATATAACGTATTTTTAAAAGGGCGCTATATTTAACTGGGCAAATGACCGTTCAGGTTAAAAGAGTGATATATATATTATTAATCACATCTTGGTTCCGAACTCCCTCAAAATGACACCATATCCGAGCTCTTTACCGATTATAAAAAAGAAAAAAGAAAACTATAGTAGTAGTTGAAATCTGTGAGTTTGTCGGATTCAACTTTCGCTCGTCACTGATGACGACCATGATTTCTTACCCCTTACGAAAATGGTAGGTATATCATGTGCAAGGCGTAGAAAGAGAACAGTAGTGAAAATAAATGGAGACTGTTCAAATCACAGTAACAGCATCTTGTGCTGCCATAATAATTACTCTAGTGGTGTGTATATGGAGAGTGCTGAATTGGGTTTGGTTCAGACCAAAGAAGCTGGAAAAGCTACTGAGGAAACAAGGTCTCAAAGGCAATTCCTACAGGATTTTGTATGGGGATATGAAGGAGCTTTCTGGTATGATTAAGGAAGCTAACTCCAAACCCATGAATCTTTCTGATGATATTGCCCCAAGATTGGTCCCTTTCTTTCTTGATACCATCAAGAAATATGGTATGTTTCACTAATCCCTCGCTCACTATTTAGTTGGCTGAATAATTTGGATCTCTTTCTCAAATGAATATTTACAACGGAGTTGGATTAAGAGTTGTGTCAAGATTTTTAATTTGTTCAAGTATAGATCAAAACCAAAATTTCACTGTTTTTCAACTGTGTGAAAAAACCTAGTTCTCCTTAGCTCCATATTGTAAAAAAGGGCAGCCTGGTGTTCTAAACTACCGCTATGTGCGGGGTCCGAGGAAGGAGCCGACCGCAAGGGTCTTGAATGCAGCCTTACCTCACATTTTGGCAAGAGTAGTTTCCAAGGCTCGAACCCATGGTCTTATGGTCACATAGCAGCAATTTTACCAGTTACGTCAAGGCTTCCTTTCCTTAGCTCCATATTGTGTTTGGGGTAAAAGTTTCTTGTATGTAGTCAAAGTGAGGATGGGAAAGTTATGATGCAAAACAGAGAATCTGGTTATGGTCCATTCATTATTGTCCCTTTGTTGAATTCTCTGGCTTAATTGATGAAGTTGGATATATAATTTGTATAGCTTGTACTTAAATCCCCAAACTATGTGGGGTTTTATTCACTTCAGTTCCCTCAGCGTTGTTATTAGGCCCTAAACAAACAGGAAGGTAAAGATTGCTTGATTAAACTGAACTCTGACCATACTTTCACCGACATAGTCTCTAACTAAAGCGGCATTTAGCCCAACTACCCTCCTGGTAGATGCTAAGTCATGCTAAGTTAAGCTTCTCCTCAAAGGTGGCTTGACTCAAGCAGGCAACAGCTACGCAAAGTATGCCTCAAGTGCTGCTGGAAGCGTTAGCGGATAAGGTCAGTGTTTGGCCAAACAACTCTTGGGACGCATAGGCAAGACAAATGAGAAGCTTTGGGGAAGGAGGTAAACACCCCTTTTATTGATTATTATACAAAGATATATACACTTACAAGTTACAAGTAGTGGTGGCAAAATGGTTAAAACAACATAGTGAACCACCCATATTATCCACTAAAAAATGGGTTGGATAATGAACTTTTTAAAAATGGGTCAAATATGGATAAGAACCATAGAAAATGGATAACTAATGTGTTTAACTTTTACATTTGTAAAAGTTCAAATTGGGGGTTCCTCAAGTTTGGGAAACTAGGAATTCTCCCAAATGTGATCATATTCAAGTAGCCATAGATAATATAGTTACTCATATTATCTGCCGGTTAACCCGTTTTTTATCCGTATTAAATATGGGTCGGGTCGAATAATTTGTCCGTTTTTTCATTACCCATTTTTGACCCGTCCCATATCCAACCCGACTCGCCCGTTTCCCGCCCCTACTTACAAGGCTACAAGGAAGACTACACAAGAACACAAGACTAGGACATTAGAACAAGGGTTTTGGTGTGTAGTATGTTGGATTATGTAGCTGGCCGCTCATGGCTATCAAGGAGGAGTCTTCCCTATTTTTAGGCTTCCTTGCAGATTTCAAGAACCCTCAAAGTCGTTAGAAAACCTCCCTAAAGTCGGTGGGCATTGGGCAGCCCCATTTATCCAAGGATGACTCCTCTTAGGTCTTTGTAGAATTTACCGCAAGTTGGTAGGTTGCTTCCAATGGCCTTGCTGCCCTATTGCTGGATTCCCTTGATATGTCTGGAGCCTCTTGGATACTTTTTGAGTTTTTGAGTCTTCTAGGAGCTTGGGGATCCTTCCGGAACATTATAGAACTTTCCACACTGGCAATGTAGTGCGCCCAGTGTACTTGGCGTAGTTTTATCTTCTCTTTCTCGTGGTCCAATGAGCTTCCTCAAAATTATGAGGCATGTTGCTCCAAGACACCTGTTAATGTGTTCCATGACGCACTTGCACATCTCCGCATGTCCCGATGGTTGGCCACACCCACAAGTCACACTATTGGCGTTCATCTTGCCACGTGCTTGCTCCAAGCTCCTTTTCGGTGTCTTGTTTTGCTTATCCACCACCTTTATTACCTTGTGGACCTCTTGTCATGCATGAAACATCGGTGCATTCGACAGGCCTTGACATTACGGGCCTTGACATTAGCCTAGGTACAATTTTGCTGTGTGGGGTTTGTTGAACTTTTCCAGAATAAAACAAGTGAAACATTTATCCTGTTTGGTCTAGATTATCAAATACTTTCTGTTCATTTAGATAAAGGATTATGTGATAACTCCAAAATAATCAATTGCTTTGAAGGAACAGCTTGCCGTTAGCAAATGATTGTTACTAATGAAACTGATTTAAAGAGAAACACTTATTATATCAGCTATAATTGTTATCCAAATTTAACCGGCCCTTATTCTTATCGCGAAAGCTGCCAATATTTTCTTGGAAGGTTAGACTTTGGAACATGGGCTTTGATGAAGTTGCTTGGTGTCTTCTTCCTTCCTGTTCTGTTCATCTTTCAAAAGCCCCTGTTACTTTCATTTTTTATGGTGGATAGATATTCATCTTCAATTTGGAGTAGTTAAAAGGGAAAAATCTGCTTGCAGGGAAAAAATCCTTTGTATGGTTGGGTCCAAAACCGCTGGTTTTTGTCATGGACCCCGAGCTTATAAAGGAAGTATTCTCCAAAAACTATCTGTATCAAAAGCCTCATTCAAATCCATTAACCAAGTTACTGGCACAAGGACTTGTAAGCCAAGAGGAAGACAAATGGGCCAAACATAGAAAAATCGTCACTCCTGCCTTCCACCTGGAGAAGCTAAAGGTTTGTAATTGCAATGGATTCTCCGTAAGCAGTTCATTTTTATCTTTTCTTTCATCGTAACAGAAACTTACTCTTGATTGTGATTCTTTTTTGAGGTACTTGTTTGGAACCATTTTGTATTCCTAATTACAAAGTCGGAACATTTTGAATAAGTGTCCCTTCATTGACTTTCTCTTAACCATTTCTTAAACAGCATATGCTTCCAGCTTTTTGTTTGAGCTGTACTGAGATGCTGAGCAAATGGGAAGACATTGTTGCAGTTGAGGGCTCACATGAGATAGATATATGGCCTGGCCTTCAACAATTAACTAGTGATGTGATCTCTCGGACAGCCTTTGGCAGTAGCTATGAAGCAGGTAGAAGGATATTTGAACTTCAAAAGGAACAAGCTCAATTTCTTATGGAAGCTATACGCTCCGTTTATATTCCAGGCTGGAGGTGATTTGCTTTAACTATCGCCATAGTACTCCTTTACAAATTTCACTGGGCAGTGCAACATGATTAACTCCTGCTCTTATATATGTTTGATATTTGTTGATGCATATCTCTTTCCCTTCTTGATTTCTTGCTTATTAAACTGTTTGACAGGTTTTTGCCAACAAAGAGGAACAGAAGAATGAAGGAAATTGAAAAGGATGTTCAAGCCTTAGTTAGAGGTATTATTGATAAAAGAGTAAAGTCAATGAAAGCAGGAGAGGTGAATAATGAGGATCTGCTTGGTATATTGCTGGAATCTAATTTTAAAGAAATTGAACAGCATGGAAACAAGGATTTTGGAATGAGCATTGAAGAAGTCATTCAAGAATGCAAGTTATTCTATTTTGCTGGCCAAGAAACTACATCAGTGTTGCTTGTATGGACTCTAATATTGCTGAGCAGGCATCAGGATTGGCAAGCACTGGCCAGAGAAGAGGTGTTGCAAGTCTTTGGGAATCAGAAACCAGATTTTGATGGATTAAATCGTCTAAAAATTGTAAGTGTTCTAGTTAGTCGGTTCAATTTCTCAGCCATGGATTTACCTGTTATTGCTATTATGCAGTGCTTAAATTAGAAATGAATTAGATGTTGCTTCTAATGTTTGATACTACACTGGATATAGCCATGTTGCAAGTCAACTCTATAGCCATGAGCATGGGCAGATTATATTGGCTGTGGGTGCCTCCGCACCATTGCTTCAGCTTAAACTCTAAAACAATTTTTTTAATTAAAAGGTATAGTCATACTAATTTCATACTCATTTTGACACTGGAGTAATGGTGCGCTGGTACTAAGCAACCACGTACTTAAAACTCTAGATCCTCTTATGAACATGAGAGACAACTCAGTTCGTCAAGAAAGGGGATGAAAAGTAGTTTGCTCATATACGGACTAGCTGCAAGCTAGATAAGTACTTCACTGATAGGAATTAGTTTTGACACAAAAATTTAAACCTATAACAAGTCATTTTTCATGCTATGTATTGATGGAGGAGAACTTCTTGCTGCAGGTTACAATGATCTTGTACGAGTCTTTAAGGCTCTATCCCCCAGTAGTGACACTTACCCGAAGGCCTAAGGAAGACACTGTATTAGGAGATGTATCTCTACCAGCAGGTGTGTTAATCTCCTTACCAGTGATCTTATTGCATCACGACGAAGAGATATGGGGTAAAGATGCAAAGAAGTTCAAGCCAGAGAGATTCAGAGATGGAGTCTCAAGTGCAACAAAGGGTCAAGTCACTTTTTTCCCATTTACTTGGGGTCCCAGAATATGCATTGGACAAAATTTTGCCATGTTAGAAGCAAAGACTACTTTGGCTATGATCCTACAACGCTTCTCCTTTGAACTGTCTCCATCTTATGCACATGCTCCTCAGTCCATAATAACTTTGCAACCCCAGTATGGTGCTCCACTTATTTTGCATAAAATATAGTTTATTACTTGTAAGTAGTGTCTCGTTTTATGTTAAGCATGAGTCCAAAATGTTAAGGCTTGTAGAACTGCAAAATGGGAATGCATTTGCACTCGTGCACTGTAGATTGTTGTAATTGGAATAGCAGATTGTTTATCTTAGAGTTTTAAGTTCTGTGTCCATGGAATTTTTACATCATTAAGTAAAATTTACGTGCAACAAGTAACTTATCATAGTAAGTGATCACGCCCAACTATGCCTTATAAAAAGGACTAAGCGGTCGTTGCAAATATATTCTGGCTAATAAGTCCGGAACTCACACAAATTCACACAATCAATCTTCAGAAATATTTAAGTAACATATTGGGTTTTATTAACTAAATATTACGTAATGAAAATGTAATAATTAACAACTAATTACGAACGGGTTGTAAACAAGAATTGGAATGATTTAAGGTTGTGATTTTCCCTATTGTCGGAATTTTTTCTGCTACGTTTTCTACAAATTTGCCTAAGTCTTCTCTATCGACCATGAGCACTCTAACTGTCATAACTCTCTCCCGAGTAATTACCACAATTTACTAGGCGTATTCTCCCGAATTACGCTAGCTGGCATTAAGTACAGCTCACTCAGATCACATCAAGGTTTCGTTATCCCTAAACCCACCTTTAAACCTTCGTATTGATCCTTTATATACGTTTAGGAGTGATGTTGTTCAACAACTACCTAAATATGCACTCTCTCCCGAGTAATACATACTAAATAGGCATAGCTAACTGAGGGCCCTTCAATCAACCACAAGAATAATATAGTTGAACAAATAGAGAAAATACTACGGCAAATCTATATTAATGTAACAAGAAAATCATCCTTCAATAGGTTCCATCAAAACCCTAGATTAGGAATTTATCTACTCATACTCATAGTAACGATATCCCAAATATTTTGTATAATTAAAATACAGAGTAACGATGAAAAGATGTAGAAATGATGATTCTAACTCCCAAGGGGTGATTCCACCAGCTATTCTTGCCTCTGGCTGCCAAAAACGTCCCTCCAAGTGGTGTTTTTAGGTCTATTTATATGTGTAGAAGAAACCCTAAACGTGTAGGCCAAGCCCTAGTCAAACCCGAAACGAATTAAGTCTTCAAAACTCGGATTGGACTTGGCCTCAGGCCTGGCGTCGCCAGCCTAACGCCTGGAATTTGGCTGGCCTCGCCAGGTCTCTCCTTTTCACTGTTCTCGAGCACACTTTCAACGTTTAAGTATCCCTTTTGCTCTACTTTCATCTCCAATTCACCTACACATAAAATAGACTTCATTATGCGCAAATAAAGTGTAATTTATCATTAAAGCATGTAAAATATAAGGCACATAATATACGAAACTATGGAATTATAACCACACATCAATATCCCACACTTAAACATTGCTCGTCCTCGAGCAATCAAACTACACTTATAGATACGACCTTTTTAAGCAATTCTCCTAACTCATTACACCAAAATTTTTAAAAATAGTTTAAGCACACAAGTGTGACATCCTCACCTCAAGATTCGACTCACAAATACCATGCCTTATTCAAAATTCACTTACTTACTCTGACATGGATGTCAACAACATTACCTTTCCTTTATGAATCATGTGCCCTCACCCAATCAAAGAGCTTAGTTCCACACACAATGAATTTTAAGAACATAGGAACTCAAGATAGACAAAATTCATTCTCTATCAGAAATAACATTCATATGCCACAAATGATACACTATAGGCTTTCCCGTAGTGTAATACTCTACTAATCGAGTTCATTCAGTCTAAGATCAACAAGGACTTTCATTAGTTGTAATGTAGGCTGCGGGTCGGGTAGGATACATTTGGATATGAGTGACTACACCTCCCTTAAGCACTTTAATACATATACTTTAACACACATCCCATACTTATGCCAAACCAAACATTCCACCTTTACTTCAATTTATATTACCCCATATTTCTTTAAGTATAATTACATTAAGAGTCGCCACTTATCAAAGAATATTCTTTTTCCCATCAATACAACTATTATTTTTTTTTTCTTTCTTTCTTTTTCAATTCAGGCGGCTCTTACTTTTTCAAAACAGTTCACCTTTCTCCTTATTTCATTAGTTTCACGCAAAAAACCAAATCAACCACCCCACACTTTAACTTTTACAAAGTTCATAACAATTCAAGTGCTCATTAGAGGTAAAAAGATTCAAATAGATGGTTAATTCAAATAATTGGGTAAGGCTTGTAGTGTGGTTGCCAAAGAAACAGGATTACAGGCTCAAAGGGGTTAACTACGTTACATAACTTTTAGGTGGGTAAACTATATATATCTGGCTTAACAAAGAAACGCCTATATCACTTCTCAGACTGAACAAGGCTACTATTTCGCTTTGCACACACACGGGGCAAGTTCTAGAAATCAAATGCAATGCACAGAATACATACAAAACTCACACACACATGGCACATAACTCACTCAGGATTGGTTTCATCGCGACACTCCAGTCAAAGCAGTTATGCAAAATTAGGAATCTACGATTTAAGGTACTTATGCGAGAGTCAAAAATCGAGCCTAAGCGTCACAACCATAGTACTAACTATTCTCAAGGCATAACAAAGCTAAGAGATATTGCTACAATTAAATGCATAGTTTCGTGGTTACTACTCCTAAAAATTAAAACTAACTACACCCGGTTCAACTAAAAACCACTGGAAAAGAATCGCGACCCAAAGAAAAACCAATGGGGATTTACTACACTACCTACACACAAAAAAAATCTTTTTGGTATTTTCTTTTGACTTACTTCCCTCAAGAAAACTGTCTAGGAGATTCATCGTCGGGATGAGTCCAATTTTTATTTTATTTTTATTTTTAACGGCACTAAATAACTAAAACACATAGCCAAATCAATTATTAAACTACTAAAACACATACTAAAACAATTAACACTAAATAACTAAATAACTAAAATTAACCATGTACAAGTCCCCACCCCACACTTAGATCATGCATTGTCCTCAGTGCATGCACAAAATGACAAAACACAAAAAATGAGTAGGGTGTAAAGAAACTCCCTGATCAAGCAACATCTTCATCCTCTGACGCTCTCCACTCCTCATCATGTTCGTCGTCCTCCTCCTCATCATCATCTCCCTCACCATCTGACTGCTCTGGCTCAGCTTCAGACTGCTCCGATGTATTGATATCCTCATCATTCGGGAGTCAGTATCCATCTCTTAACCCAACCAGCTGTTGGGCATGAGCATTGAGCGGGTACCGGTGCTCCAATTCAGTCCTCTCCTCAGATGTGGCCTGTAGACCTCCTATCCTTAGCTGCAAATCCATCATTAGATAGAGATGGGCCATAAAACTATCATCACGAGCGTTGCGCTCGGTACTTGTCAACGATGTTATGGCAGTCTCTTCTTTCAGCCGGAGGCTAGTGATGTCCGTTTATCGTAGGGGCTGATCAATGGTGTGGTCAAACTCTAGCTCCTCCTCAACCTCCTCGTGTCTTAAGTACTGAGTTAGAAAATTGGCAATTGGCATTTGATCGATCTTTTTACTCGTTCTGACTACAGACATCTGGTAGCGGATCAGATGAACCACATTTACCCTTTGACCCGTCATGAGGAAGTAGAGTACACAGGTCCTCTCACGGCTAATGAGTGTGTCATGATTGCACGGTAGGAGTCGTTCATTTATCAGTTTAAGCCACACTTGAGCCTCCGCCCTTATCTCCTTCTTGGGAAACCTCTTGTGCCGATTAGTTATCTTATCCCGGACCCATGCTGCCGTAGAATCGGCACCATAAAGCATGTGTCTCAACTCTCTGTATGTAGGCCGGCGAATGAAGTGGTCCAATGTCTCCACAGGAACATCCGGAGCACCTAAAAAGTTACATATGGCCGTGGGTGAAAATTCTATCAATCGTCCACGAATCGGCACCAGCTGTTCAGTACTCTGCGGATCAAACCCTGCATAGAATTATTGGACTAAGTTGAGATTAGTGTTCCCTGTGTTCTTGAATACATAGCTCAACCCCATATCCTGAATGCCCCTCCAAATTGCCTGATACTTTGCTTTCAAGCTGCGTTCATTGATAGCTGCTTCTGGGTGTACATGTTTAGGCCTACAATGCCTGTACCAATCCTTAGTATGCGGTGGTATGCTGTTGATGCCAAACTCCCATTGGCCTTGTGGTTGTTGACGCATGGCTGCTATAGCTGCCACAGCTTGTACCCCACTTAGATTGAAGGTAGCTTCCCCCCTTTTCTCTTCTTTAGGGGAGGTGCTGAGGTTGCCTTTACTTTAGCCGGCGCAGTGGAAGTAGCCTTGGCTTTGCCTGTGCCTTTTCTGGGAGGCATCTTTGTTCCTAAACAAATAAGCAGTAGTCAGATAAAACTGCATTACACACTACACACATAATAAACTTTTTTTTTCGACTTTCCGAGGTTACTCAGACTTCACCTCGTATTTTCTTAATATTAGAATCAAAGAACAACACATGGACTACCCGCGAGCCACCCCACACTTAAGATTTTAACGTGGTGTATGACTTCATAACACTAGTCTATTAATCCTGGAGACTCGAGCTCCAATGGGGACAAGGAATGCCATTGAGGCATTATATCAAACACTTAACATGCATTAGTGCCATGGTAGTTCTTATGGAGATGAGGGATTGCCTCATCCTCCCAAATCGTCTTGGGGGTTCCGTACTACCACATGTTTTCATAATCGCAACACCATTCCTATGGGGTTTCATGGGGTTGGGGCACACAAACTCAATACCATAATGAAGAACAACCACCAATTTTTGTGTGTAATTGTACACATGTACCTCTCTCGAAATTACAAAGGAAAGAGATCAAATCATACCTTTGAAGCGTTTGAGAGGAGGGAGCTGCCTGAGAATTTCTGATGAGTGTGAAAGAATAGCAAGACTAAATTTGACTTCAATGGGGATGGGGGAGACCACTATGGCAATGTGTTGTTGAGTGTTTGTGGGTGAGGGCAATTTATGCAGTGTGTTTAGTTAAGAGCAACGCTGATGAGATGATATGTGTGCTTGTGAAATTTGTTTCTTTTAAAGCTTGATGTGTGTTTGAGGTTAGGGTTGTTTGTATTGTGTTCAGTGTTTAGGGCGTGTA